TTTAATGGGACTCTGTGTGGGCACCGTGTTCCACCCACGTGGATCTGATTGCAGTAGGGCTTTGTATTTCTCCTTCATGGACAATCCTCTATAGATTCCCCACTACAGGAGTCACATGATGGGCTTTGCAGTCCTGGAATCATTCTACAGCAATATAACCATTAGGGGACATGTTCACACTGATCTATCAGTTCAATGATCTAACAACAGTTATAAAAGGTTCCATATTCTAACCATCCGCAAGTCCTCCCATTCCACCAGTGGAAGTGATCTCAGACCCATCTATTTATCTTCGGTTGTGCATTTAGGGAAGTTACCTTAAATTCCCATAGTTGTTAATTTTTTTAGATAGTATTTGTTTACATAATTTTAAATTGGAGTGTTTACTAATGGTAGGATCCAGTGGTGTTGGATTCAGAGAACTGTCTTCAAGCAATATGCTTTATGTAAAAACAAAATTTCCCTCACAGACCAGCACAATACCTGGTAATGCAACTCAGGCAGATTTGGCCTGTGCAGCCTTTGTTCTCAGTGCTAGAGGTGAATGGGAAAGGCACCTCAAGGTATTTGTACAAAAAAATGTCTGCTTCGCCTTCTGTATAAAAGGTCTCTGAGTTATCTGATTCAAAACCTTCAGAATCATCTCCTGAATAAGAAGGGAAAGCTTCAGTTTCAGTAGCACTTGGAGAGCACGGTGAATCCTCAGGACCACTATCCACTTCTCTCTAATAAAAAAGGAAGTTGCTTAAAAGTATCAATACACTGAAGGCAGAGGTCTCTAAAGTATGCGCTAAATCTAGCACATAGAGTTGATTTTCTCATTGTACAGAAGACACTCTGGATCTGGCCTTGTCCCAGAGCAACCCATAACCACTGGATCGTGCGTACAGTCTTTTGGTTGCCAGGTGCACTCATTTGCTCATCAGCATGGGATCCCAGTCTATCTGTACTACAAGGGAGTGAGGTTTGTATCAAGAGCTCTCTTTGGTTTTGCTTGGTAGCTTTATCCACCAACTGGAAGTCTTGAGGGTTGGGGAACATTTACTGAGCAGGTACTTGGAATTGGCTAGTCCTTGGATTCAACACTCATCAAGACAGGATTCTCTGGATCCAATTCAGGCATCTGGATTCCAAGGTCCAAAGAGAAATTATTCAAAACTAAGACTTCTCGAAGGATCTGTCAAATCTATCTAGAGTTTTTTCAGCACCACTAGAATCTCAGATCCAAAGGTATCTATCCTCTTCAGACATGGCCTTACAGATCCAAGACCTAGGTCCTTCATATGGATAGATCTTCCCCCTCCTTGGCTCATGGTGTTGGTTTCCTGATCTCTTAGACTGTGGTCAGTCCTTTCATTATTAACATTATTATTTGTATTACAGCAGAATCCAACTGAGATCTGGGGCCCCTGTTGTCAGGCACTGTAAAAAACACAGGAAGAGACAGTCCCCCTCCCAATGAGAATACAATCTACATAGACAATATAATAAGAGTAGGAGAGGACATCCAGCAGGGCAGTGGCAGAATCAGGAACAGAACTCCTGAGTCCCGACCTAGTGCCCTACAGTACGCTATAATTACGGCCCTACCAAATTCCTGGCCATGAAAAACGCGTCACAGACCGTGAATTCTGGTCTTTCCTCCTGTGAAATTTGGTCTGTTGTATGCTTTTACCCTATCCTATAGAGATTTTATGGAGTAGACAGTGTTTCTCAAATTGGGGGTCCTAACCCAAAAGGCAGTTGCGGGGGGGAGCGGGGTGTCACAAAGTTATTTTAGGGGGGTTGTGGTATTGCCAACCTTACTTCTGTGCTGCCTTCAGAGCTGGGTGGCTGGAGAGCAGCAGCTGTTGTCCAGGCGCCCAGCTCTAAAGGCAGCACACCACCAGCAGCAGAGTAGAAGTAAGGGAAGCAATACCATACTATGACACCCTTAGTTCTGCGCTGCTGCCTTCAGAGCTGGGTGGCAGGAGAGTGGCGGCTTCTGACTGAGGGCCCAGCTCTGCAGTAAGCAGCGCAGAAGTAAGGGTGGCAATATCACATCATGCCATCCTTACTTCTGCGCTGGAGCTGGCAGTGGTTCTGCCTTCAGAGCTGGGCTCCCGGCCAGCAGCTGACACTCTCCAGCTACCCAGCTCTGAAGGCAGCGCCGCCACCAGCAGCAGCAGTGCAGAAGTAAGGGTAGCAATACTACACCCTCCCCTACAATAACCTTGTGACACCCCCACAACTCCTTTTCAGGACCCCTACAATTACAACACCATGAAATTTCAGATTTAAATAGCTGAAATCATGAAATTTACTATTTTTAAAATTCTAGGGCCGTGAAATTGACCAAAATGGACTGTGAATTTGGTAAGGTCCTAACTATAATACACTGCCTTTTTCCAGTCTTGGAAACAGGGATTCCAAACTATGGCCCTTATGGCCAATTCAACCGTGGTGGCCCTTGGGTCATACAGAACTCAGGATGCACCTTTTCAGGAGTCCTCAGGAGGTCATCTTTCAAAAACATAAGAGGGTAATGAAGCCGAATCACTACATTCTCTAGATACTAAGAATTCTAAAAATCTTCCACAGGTTTTCCTGTATCTACCCGAAGTATAGACTTGGCAGGAAGAGTGATCACTATTGAATTACAACCACCCCTTCCTTGCAGTATCATGCCTTTTCCTTGGAGGTATCCCTGCTAATTACTAACCAGACCTAACCCTGCTTAAGCTTGTGCAATCTCACAAGATGGTTCAGCTGCCAAAAGTAATCAGTTTTGTGCTGTGAATGGGTAGCCGTTTTTTTATTTTGAAACCATAAACCTGATACTGAGTTGGCAAAGCAATATTGTAGCTACTCCACTACTTCTACCATAGCCCATTAACTATTATAGCTGCAACTGGAAAACCTGTACACTTCCTTAACAGGGATTTAAACCTATTGATCTACATTAATCATTATCTATAAGCTACTTCTGTGCAGTGCCTCAACATTACCAAACTGCTCCATTAGATTTCCCTTGCATGGAACTCTAACCCTGCACAGTGGAACTTCCACTGTTTTTAGTGCCTTCTATTCCCATTGGGATAGCTCAGCATTTGAGCCCTTAGACTCAAAATGAAATGACAACTGTATTGATAGGCTCAACCCTACATTAGTTCACACACAGAACAATATTTTCACAACCATACGGGCTCACATGTGACAATGGTAAAGCATATACTCCTGTGCTTTACCCAAATTCCAAAGAGAAACTGTTTTAATCTGTTTATACAGAGCATGAGCTGTGGGGGATAAGTTAGGTACGAATTTGCTCTAAAATTTTATCATCACAGGGAACCATTACTTCTGATACATTTTTAGGTGGTGACACTTGAACTTTGACTTTTTCTGCATCTACCTTCTATCAGTAATATGCCATAATTACTCCTGGGAGAATTCTGTGTCACTGCGCATGCACAGAATTCATGGCCCCCACAGATTTCTTGCTTAACTGCAGAAAAATGACTTCTGATGGAAAAGCAAGGGGAAGCCACAAAAATGGTCATGTGCCCACTCCCTGGCAGAGCAGATAGGTCAGTTTGGGCACCCAGAGCAGCCGGTAGAGATGTAAATCACTCCCGGGGGGCGGGGGCTGGGTAGTCATGTGTGAGAGAAAGAGACACACATTCTGTCCCTCTTGCTTGCTATTGCAGCACGCTCAGCATGGAGGGGCAGGGCTTTGGGGTATTTCTGAGGAGGTAGGCGTGGGGCAGGCTCTGTTCCCTCAGGCAGAGGAGAATGTAGCAGCCTGCCTGCTTAATTAATTGTTCCCATTATTTTTAGTGAATTCCCCCAGGAGTATAAAACAGGTATAAACATTTTAAAGCTTCTTTACATTGCCAGAGTGGTGTAAAGGAGCCTTATTGTAAAGGACAGTGCGGCCTTAGCCTTATAAAGGGGGCTGCGCACTCCCCCCACCCTCAGTTCCTTCTTGCTGCCAGTGAAGGTAGTCAGAACTTGTGCTCCAGCATTGCTGCAGCGTCTTTCCTTAGCGGTATGATCTTTGACAGTTAGTAGTTCTACAGTTAGTGGCCTGGCTCGGGGCATGCCCCGAGCCCCAGGCTTCAAGTCGTGTGACTCCTGTCGCAATTCCATGCCCAGAAGCGATCCACACTCTAAGTGTCTTCGCTGTCTGGGCGAGAATCACATAAGTGAGCACTGTAAAATCTGTAAGTCCTTCAAGCTCCGGACTAAGCATGAACGTGAGATCCGACTCCGGGCCCTGCTTATGGAGTTGGCATTGGCCCCGGCGCGTCGACCCGACCCGGTGCTGGGCACCGCGTCCTCGGTGTGGAGCAAAGCCCCATCCACCAGTGGGCACCGCTCCCCTGCCAAGAAGCAAAGCAAGACCCAGCGGCGCTGAGACAAGGACAGGGGTGAGGCCGGACCCGAGTTGGGCAGCCCACGATCCCCCTCGGGACCCAGACCTCTGACTCGAGTGGAGCGGAGTAGTCCGGCCCCGTCCGCGCATGCCTCTCCAACTATGAGAATCCCGTTGACGCCGGAGGCAGCTCAGGCAGCACGCGATATCCTTATCCTGCCGGTACCGGGCGTGCTGCCCTAGTCGGGCCCCCGAGGAAAGCCGCCGCTGGGCGTCCACCAGCCCTCCCCGGCCAGGTCGGAGGTTGAGGTCCCTAGCATGGCAAGGGGCGCCATGGCAAGGACAGTGGTGCCAGTGGGCACCGTGGCCCCAGGCGCCCGCACCAGTGAGGCCCCGCTCTGTGGCTGGGGCATCCCAAGCGCCTTCGGCGTCCCCGCCTCGGCACCGAGAACAGTCCTCGGGTACCGAACAACTGGCACCGCACCCGGACCCGGACGTGGAGTGCAACCCACCGGTACCACCCGATGCCCTAGAGGTGGTGTCTGTCGTCTCGTCAGCACCGGACGAGTCCATAGCGGCACCGCCTCCTCCCTCTCAGGAGGACTTTAAGAATCATCAAGAGCTTCTCCGACACATAGCCACCAACCTCCAGATCCAGGCTGAGGAGATGGAGGAGCCATTGGACAATTTCTTTAATGTCCTGTCCTCCTCGGCACCGGGCCGTGTGGCCCTACCCCTGCACCAAGGGGTTGCCAACATTTCTATCGGACTCTGGCAAACCCCGGCCTCTCTGCCACCCATTTCTAAGGCAGAGCGGAAGTACTTTTTGCCAACAAAGGGGCATGAGTACCTGTACACTCACCCTACCCCGAACTCACTGATCGTAGAGTCCGTCAACCACCGGGAAAGACATGGCCAGCCCGCACCCACCCCCAAGGACAAGGATGCCAGGAGACTGGCCACTTTTGGGGAAAAAAGTTTACTCCTCTGCAAGTTTCCAGCTCAGGGTGGCAAACCATCAAGCACTCCTGAGCAGGTATGACTTTAACTTGTGGGGGTCCCTGCCAAAATTCGAGCTTTCCCTCCTAGAAAAGGACAGGAAGGAATTCAGAGACCTAGTCGACGAGGGTGCGGCAACGGCAAAAACAGCGCTCCAGGCGGCCTCGGATACAGCTGACACTGCGGCTCGTTTGATGGCCTCTGCTATCTCCATGTGATGGGCGTCGTGGCTTTCGCTGTTGGGGCTGTCCGTGGAATCCCAGTCCCTCATGCAAGACCTGCCATTTGACAGCAAGGCATTATTTGCAGACCAAATGGACGCTCGTCTGTACGGCATGAAGGACTCCCGCACCACCCTGCAGACTCTCGGCCTTTATGTCCTGCCACCCAAGGACAAACCCAGACTCTGCCCTCGACTCCCCCCATAAGGGGCAGATACGAACCCTGCCTAAGAGGCCTAGGGACCAGTGGCGTAGGTCACAGCACCAGTCCCGTTCGGGCCCACGCCCCAGCCCCTCGAAGGGCAAGAGGTAGGGGCAGAGGCATTTTTGACTTTGCGGGGGGCCACCTGGCCTGTTGCCAGGGGAACCCCCCAGTTAATAAAGTTGTTTTTTGGCAACTGTTTATCGGCCTTCAGAGTGCATTAGTCCAGTATAACGTCGGACCGGTGGGGCCTCAGTATCATCTCCAAGGGGTACAGGCTGCAGTTTGATTCACCCCCACCACACCATCCTCCATCCCGGGATGTCCCTGGGGACCTAGAACACGCCCTCCTTTTAAATCAGGAGGTGACGCGCCTCCTCACCCTGGGGGCGGTGGAGAGGGTACTTCGGGAATTCCAGGCAAGGGGTTTTACTCCCAGTATTTCCTGATCCCGAAAGCAAAAGGCAGGCTCAAGCCCATCCTCGACCTGCGGAATCTCAACCAGTTTCTGGTTCGCTGCAAATTCTGTATGGTGTCCCTGGCCTCTATTGTTCCGTCCCTGGACCCAGGAGATTGGTTCGCAGCCCTGGACCTCCAGGATGCGTACTTCCATATCCACATATTCGAGGTTCACAGGCACTTCCTCCGCTTCCTGGTAGGGAGAGACCACTACCAGTTTACGGTCCTTCCCTTTGGCCTTTCCACAGCCCCCAGGGTTTTTACCAAATGCATGGCGGTGGTCAGGACCGGTGCTACCATTAAGGCAAACTAGTCGGTTGCCTAGGGCGCCAAGCTTTGGGGGCGCCAAAAAGCGCTGCCCCTGATTTTTTTTTACAGCGTTCCTACGCCCCCTCCCCGAGCGCGCGGTCGCCGCTCCACTTCTCCCGCCTCCCAGGCTTGCAGCGCCAATCAGCTGTTTGGTGCCGCAAGCCTGGGAGGGGAGAAGAATTAGAGCAGGGGCGGCGAGCTCGGGGAGGAGGCGGAGCAGAGGTGAGCTGGGGTGGGGAGCTGCCGCACGGCTGCCCGGGGGGGAGGAAGCTGCCGCGGGGGGCGGGGGGGCGCCTCAGGGTGGAGGGGGGGCGGGGAGCTGCCACAGGGCGGGGGGGGGAGCGCAAGGTGGAAGTTTTGCCTAGGGCACGAAACTTCCTTTCACCGGCCCTGGCGGTGGTAGCAGCCCACCTCAGGAGGAACGGGCTGCAGATCTTCCCCTACCTGGACGACTGGCTGCTCAAGGGCAAGTCTCGGTCCCAGGTGCAGGCGCAGATGGAATTCCTGCTAGATACCTGCTCGAGTCTTGGTCTAGTGGTAAATGAGGAAAAGTCCACATTAATCCCGGTTCAGCGCATACACTTCATAGGGACGCTGGTAGATTTGCAGGTGGCCATGGCCTCCCTCTCCCGGGACAGATTCGAGACGCTCAAGGGTCTCATCGCCTTGGTCACGACCTTCCCTGTGACGATGGCACGGGTGTGCCTTCAAATCCTAGGCCATATGGCAGCATGCACCTCAATGGAGCGACATGCCAGGCTCAGGATGAGGCTCCTCCAACTCTGGCTGGCCTCCCAATATTCCCAGGCCAGGAATGACCTGGACAAGGTCGTCACGTTGCCATCCAATGTAGTGGCCGACCTGCAATGGTGGTCCCTCCCAAGCAACATGCTTCAGGGTATCACATTCCGGGACCCTCCTCCCTCACTAGATCTGTGTCCGACACCTCGGACCTGGGATGGGGAGCCCATATGGAGAGCTTCAAAATCCAGGGCAGATGGTTGCCCTCAGAATTGTCTCTGCACATAAATGTCAGGGAGCTCAGGGTGGTCTGCCTGGCAGGCGTAGCTTTCAGTCAGCACCTAGCGGGGAAGGTGGTCAGAGTCCTCACGGACAATATGACTGCGATGTATTATATCAACAGGCAAGGCAGCACACGTTCCGTGGCCTTGTGCCAGGAAGCCCAGCTCCTGTGGGAGTTCTGTATAGCCCACAACATCCTTTGAGGGCTTTTCACCTGCCCAGCAAGCGCAATACGCTCGCGGATCACCTAAGCAGGTTTTTCTCCCAACAACACGAGTGGTCTCTACACAGGGAGGTGGCCAAGCGGCTCTTTTTCGAGTGGGACACTCCCCAGGTAGATCTGTTCGCCACTGTCCAGAATTGCCTATGCCCCTGATTCTGCTCCAGGGCGCGTTCCTAATTCCATGGTCGGGTTGCCTGTTCTAGCCTTCCCGTCTTTCCCCCTGATAGGCCTCCCTACAGAAGGTAAAGGTAAAGGCAAAGGCAGATGGGGCACAGATTATCCTCATAGCCCCGGATTGGGACTGTCAACATTGGTACGGGACCCTCCTGCAGCTTTTAGTGGCCCCCCCCGTGCAGGCTGCTGCTTCGACCGGACCTCCTCTCCCAGGAGAGAGGACATCTCCTCCACCCCAACCTGGCCGTGCTCCACTTGACAGCATGGCAGCTCCATGGTTGAATGAGGAGGAGGGGAGGTGTTCTGAGGGTGTTAAACAGGTCCTGCTTGACAGCAGGAAACCGTCCACGCAACGAACCTACCTAGCCAAATGGTATCGGTTCTCCATGTGGGCAAGGGAGAGGGGTTCCTCCCCCTCCTCCGCATCTATCCAGTTCATCCTCGATTACCTCCTCTCCCTTAGGACCCAAGGGCTGGCGCCCTCTTCGGTCCGGGTACATCTGGTGGCCATTTCGGCTTTCCACCCCCCAGTGCAGGGCCACTCGGTGTTTTCACACCACATGACTTCCCGTTTCCTAAAAGGGCTGGATTGGGCATTCCCTTACGCTAGACCCCCGGTCCCGCTCTGGGACTTGAACCTAGTGCTCGCCCGCCTCACAAGGCCCCCCTGCAAGCCCTTGGCCACATGTTCTTGGTCCCATTTGTCGTGGAAAGTGGCGTTCCTGGTGGCTATCACCTCAGCCCGCCAGGTCTCAGAGCTTAGGGCTCTGAACCCCCATATACAGTCTTCCATAGGTCCAGCTCCGCCCGCACCCAGCTTTTCAGACGAAGGTAGTCTCGGCTTTTCACATGGACCAGGACGTTTTCCTCCGAGTCCTCTGTCCTTAGCCCCATTCCTCCAATGAGGAACGACGCCTGCACATGCTAGATGTGCGTAGAGCGCTGGCTTTTTACCTAGACCAGACCAGGCCATTCTGGAAATCCCCTCAGCTTTTCATTGCATCGGCCAAGCGCATGAGGGGGCAACTGATTTCCACCCACCGGATCTCCCGCTGGATCACCTCGTGCATACACACATGTTACGACCTGGCAGGGGTTCCCCCGCCTCAATAGTGAAGGCTCATTCAACGAGAGCTCAGGCCTCGTCAGCTGCCTACATGGCTCATGTCCCTATTCAGGACATCTGCAGGGCTGCTACATGGTCCTCCGTCCACACCTTTTCATCGCACTATACGATCGTCTCCCAAACGAGGGATGACGCCAGGTTTGGTAGGGCGGTACTCCGCCCAGGTAACCCTTAAACTCCTACCCACCTCCATCAGGTATAGCTTGGAGTCACCTACTGTGGAATACACAGGAGCAATCACTCCGAAGAAGAAAGGACAGTTACCTGTTCCATAACTGGAGTTCTTCGAGATGTGTTGCTCAGGTATATTCTACATCCTGCCCTCCTCCTCCTCTGTCGGAGTTGTCTGGCAAGAAGGAACTGAGGGTGGGGGGAGTGCGCAGCCCCCTTTATAGCACGATATAGAGGCGCCACTCCAGGGGTCGCAGCGGGGCTCCCCCACTACTGGTACTGCTAAGGGGAAAACATCCGGCACCGGTGCACGTGGCGAGCACGCACACCTATTGTGGAATACACCTGAGCAACACATCTCAAAGAACACCAGTTACGGAACAGGTAACTGTCCTTTTTCCTGTAAAGTAAGTTTCTAGCCCTCACGGTTACAAAGAAAATAAGCTTTAAAAGGTGACTCCTAAAAGCTCAAAATCCAGAAGGCATCAAAAGAATGCACCATATATTATTTTGAAAATCCCATAATTGGGGGGTCTGTCTAATGATTTTGAACACCTGGGGTTGGCAATATTGAGATGGTCATTTAAAGCTGCAACAAGTAGCATTTATGTCAAAAACAGGAACTACTCAAAAATAAAGAGGCTAGTTAAATGGAAATTAAAAGGAACAGTCACAAGTGAAATGCCTGCAAGCTGCATGGAAACTATTTAAAAACACCACAATAGAGGCTCAAACTAAATGTGTACCCCCAAATAAAACAGTAAGAAGCCAAAAAAAATGCCACCATGGCTAAACTGAGTAAAAGAGGCAGAGGCAAAAAGACATCTTTTAAAAATTGGAAGTCAAATCCTACTGAGGAAAATAGAAAGTAACAAACACTTGACTTGCCAGAGTTTAAAAGTATAATTAGTCAGGCCAAAAAATAATCTGAAAACCAACTAACAAAAGACACGAAAACCAACAGCAATTTTTTTTAGTATATCGGAAGCAGAAACTCTGCCAAACAATCAGTGGGGCCACTGAGGTGCTAAAGGAGTCCTTGAGCAAGACAAGGCCAATGCAGAGAAGCTAAATGAATTCTTTGAAGTTAGGACTAATGCAAAGGATGTGAGAGATTTCTACACCTAAGCCATTCTTTTTAGGTGAGAAATCTGAGGAACGGTCCTAGACTGAGGTGCCAACAGAAGAGGTTTTGGAACAAATTGATAAATTAAACAGTAATAAGTCACCAGGACCACATGGTATTCACCCAAGAGTTCTGAAGGAACTCTCATACGAAACTGCAGAACTACCAACTGTGATATGTAACCTATTATTTAAATCAGCCTCTGTAGCAGATAACTGGAGGATAGCTAATGTGCTGCTGATTTATTTAAAAGCGCTCCAGAGACGATCCTGGCAATTAGTAAGCCTAATTTCAGTACTAGGCAAATTGGTTCAAACTATAGTAAAGAACAGAATTATCAAATAAATGACCACAATATGTTGGCGGACGGGGGGGTGGGGTGGGGGGAAAGAGTCAACATGGCTTTTGTAAAGGGAAATCATGCTTCACCAATCTATTAGAATTCTCTGAGGGGATCAACAAATGTGGAAAAAGGTGATCCAGTGTACTTGGAAATTCAGAAAACTTTGACAAGGTCTCTCACTAAAAATTTTAAGCAAAGTAGGCAGTCATGGGATAAGGGGGAAGGTCTTCTCATGGATCAGTAAGTGGTTAAAAGATAGAAAACAAAGGATCGGAATAAATGGTTAGTTTTCACAGGGGAGAAAAGTGAACGGTGGTGTCCCCCAAGGATCTGTACCAGGACCAGTGCTGCTCAACATATTCATAAATGATCTGGAAAAAGCATTAAACAGTGAGGTGGCACAGTTTGCAGACAATACAAAATTACTCAAGATAGTTAAGTCCAAAGCTGAGCACAAAGAGTTAAAAAGGATCTCACAAAACAAGGTGACTGGGCAACAAAATGGCAGATGAAATTCAATGTTGATAAATGCTATGTAATGCACATTGAAAAACATAACCCCAATTATACATTAAAATGCTGGGATCTAAATTAGCTGTTACCACTCAAGAAAGAGATCTTGGATACATTGTGGATAGTTCTCTGAAAACATCTGCTCAATGTGGCAATAAAAAAAAATAAAGCTAACAGAATGTTAGGAACTATTAGGAAAGGGATAGATAATAAGACAGAAAATATCATAATGTCACTCTATAAATCCATAGTATGACCATACCTTGAATACTTCCTGCTATTCTGGTCACCCCAGCTCAAAAAAAATACCTTAGAATTACAAAAAGTACAGAGACGGGTAACAAAAATGATGAGAGATATGGAACGGCTTCCATATGAGGAGAGATTAAAAAGACTAGTACTGTTCAGTTTAGAAAAGAGACGACTAAAAGGGGATATGATAGAGATCTCTAAGCTCACGAATGGTGTGAGAATAGGGAAGTGTTATTTACCTTTTCACATGACACAAAGACCAGAGGTCCCCAATGAAATTAGTAGGCAGTACATTTAAAAGAAACATAAGGAAGTATAGTACAGACCCATTTACGTGCGGATGTCGGGAGTCAAGCCATCACGACCGCGGGTTAAGAGGGCCATGCTGAAATATCTTAAGATATCTATATATACACACACGTATAATTATCTAGGCTTACATACATATTCACAGCATCCCAAATACTGCAGGCCTATCTGATAACGACGCTTTGCAAGAATATAAATTCAAATGTGTAATCTAATAAAAACATTATTATTACTACACAGAGGTGAAAGTAACTTACTGGTACGGGGCGGG